GCCAAAGACTATTACCTCAGTTTTGTTTTTGTTTAGCTGGAGAAAATTGTGGCACAACCAGTCATTGATTTCCTCAATGCATTTAGTGTCACTGCTGAGTGCCTGCAACACAATGCATCTTTTGATGCAACCTATAAAACAGATTAAGACAAACTGGAACAAATTAGTGGCCCAAGTCAGCTTTAAATACCATCAGGTGCTTAAAGCTGACGTCTCACAGATTCCCAAATTCCAGGTTTCGACACTCTGTGACCAAAGTTCACTGAACCAACAGCAAAAGACGACCAAAACTATGCTTCATGTTTGAAAAACATTGTAATGATTTCCCTTTTATTTTGGCTCTCTTGCTTCCATCACAATAAAATTGCACTTCCTATCTCTGTGTGTGTATATCACCCTTAATCACACAGTGCACCCTGAGAGAGGTGCTTTACAAACACTGACTACTGCTGTCTAAAGTTATGAATAAATATGACTGAATACAACAATCATAAGGTAGTAGAAAATAGTACGTTGTGATGATTTCACTTTTATTTCGGCTCTCTTGCTTCCACCATAATAAAATTGCACTTCCTATTTATGTGTGCTTCAAGACCAATTTTCCATCAAAAACCCTATTTTCTGCCTTATTCGCTTGCTCATTATGTACACTAAAAAGCCACATTTCTGCTATTAAATACACGAGAAATATCAATGTCTCTAATAAACCTCTGTAACTGAAAAATAGAAAGGTTATGTTTTTCACTAAAGAAATCTTCAAAAAGAGCTTATATTGGTTGGTTTATAGCAGATTTACTTACACAAGCAATTTGATGTTAATTGGCAAACATTTAACGCAAAAAAAATAGGTCTTAATTTTTTGCACTCGATATTAATATTTGTTTAGATGGAAGCACATCTTTTATAAATCACTCTTAAGCTAACCACGACTATGAGCGCTATTTAATGATAGTGCACGTTTTGTTTTTTGCTTCACGATTGTGTAAATATGGCCCCAAAAGGCAGGAACAGGAAATGTGGTACTTTTATGAGGCTGCGGTCGGAAGTGCGTTTTACGTCAGAAAATATAACAAAATGTGCTCAAAAACGGGTGCAGTGAAGAGATTACAGCACTTGGAGCTGACTAAACTTAAAATTAACCTGCAATGGATCTTGTGGAAATCTATCGTTGTTTCATTGTAACATGAGCCCTGCCAGGGCTGGACTGGGACAAAAAAATCAACCCAGGCATTTTGACTAGAGTCCGACCCACCAGGAATTATAGGAAAAACCTTTGAATAAAAACAAATGCTGTTGTGACAGTGATGTACACTATCTTGTTGGTAAATAGGTATCAATCTAATAAACTTAAACCTACACTATCCTTTAAACAGTACTTACCGGAAATGTCCCCTCTCACGGACAATATCCAACTTCTTAATAGCAATGAACTGGTCTGCATTGGTGCATCATATCTTTATTCTCTTCCCCTCCTGCCCCCCCCCCCCCCTCTTTCTTAAATAGATAACTATCATATCTGATATCATATCTCACAGTACAATAATATTGAATGGGTTGCATTGTTGTATTTTGTCATGTTTCTCAGGTCTTTGTCTGAATTTCTACGAACATTATTGCTAAGGTTCTCATGTTATTGCTAAGGATTGTCTTATTGCATTGGAGTCACACTGGGTTAAATATGTACACTTGGGTTTTAAGGGGTATTTATTATTTTCTTCTTTTTTTGGGGGTTGTATGGAAGCCCCAAACGCAATTTCATTGTTCTTGACAATGACAATAAATAAATACTACTACTATCAATGCGATAAACAAACAAGAGAAACGGGACTTGCGACAGAAAAGCCGATCAGCTGATCATTGATAAGTTTCATGATTGAAGTAGCAACACGAGAGGGAGGGAGAGACAATGACAGAAGAAGAGGCAGCTGATCGACAGCGTAAAGACACAGAATAACTCCAGCTTTGTGTCTTTTTTTTTCATTCTAGCTGAAGTACGGGACAAATCGCGTTCCTTTTCACCTCAATACAGAACTTTAAAGTTCAACCTCATCGGCTGTAATTGGTCCAGCCCAGAGTCGATCATGACCAATTAGCCAATCCACCGCCTTTAATTGCTTATACTGTTACAAAACAAACAAACAAACAAAAGGTCATGGCCCATAAAAACGAAAAATCATCTTTAAATCATCAAACTGTAAATTATAAATTTTAAATTGTTATTGATCCCTTTACCCCGAGTCCTAAAGTGTATATTTATTTTGTTACTCTTCTCATATTTATTGTTGTTTACTTGCACTGCTGTAACCGGAGCCTCGTCGGCTCGTCTCTCTATACTGTACTTATGTAGCGGAGATTACAATAAAGTTTACTTTGACTTCAGCAGCGAGCAGGCGCACCGAGGGCTCTCGCGCTCACTTTTCGCGCGTAGAATTTCGTGTTTGTTGGTTTGTTTTTACTTTCTTTTATTTTGCTCCAGCCAGCCAGAGGATCCCCCGCCGCCCCGCCCTCTCCTCCCTGTGTAAGCAGCAGGCGCACCTCGCAAACGGAGGGCGCCCTTACTCCCAGCAAATGGGCGATAGAAAACCGATCGGTGCCTGTACCATTCCCACTATGCGATGGCCTGACGTAGGGGCAGAATGAGTACGAGCATTTTTTTTTTATTGCCGATGCCCACGATGCCGCCCCTGGCAACCGCCCGTCGCCCGTATCAAAAACCGCTACTGGTTGTAGGTACTAACTAAGGTACCTTCCTAATGCCACTTCGCTGCAACAGAAAATCTTTGCCTAATGATTTGTTTCTCCGTGAAGTTGGTTTATGTGAATATCATTTTAACTCTATCAAGATCAGTGGATGGAAGTTATTGCGACTCCATGAGCAGTCTGCTGCTCCCGATGGTGGTGCTTCAGTGCACATATGTAGTAGAAGGTACGTATGATATCTTTTATTGCTATTATTTTAATTACTTCTGCTTTTGTGGAAGGCAGTTCTGAGCAGGCTTTGATCAACGTTTTGGGGTTAGGGAGCAGGGACGTGCAGAGAGGTTTAAAGGGGCGGGTGCTCAAAGTTAAAAAGGGGCACATTGAACCAGGCTGAATAACAACAACACACATTCATCAAGAATCTAATATGGGAAGGGCAGGGCTGTGTTGATCTGAGACTGTAGACATTAAAAAGTCCACAGGAGAGATGGTAGCTGATTAAACAAGTGTCATGAGATAATAACAAAATGCAAAGATTGGTGACAGCGCTTGGAACCATAAGGCAACAAAAAACTGTGACATAAACTCGGCTCTGCCTGTGAATCACTCTTTGCTTCTCTTCTTCCTTCCTTCCCATCTTTTCATATATCACTCTCCACTTGCTATGTGAGAACAAGGCACAACTTGCTATTGCAATAAACTATAATCTAATTATCCACACCTAACAACTCTTGCACTTAATCTATAATAAAATGATGACAGAAAAATGTTATAGCACTGCCTTTAGTAGCCTCATACAGCTCCTACTGCTTCCTCCTCATGTCCTTACCAGCCATGTCTGCACAATGTTATATCATGAGTAATATTTTTTTAAATCCAGCTAAATAAAACACACACATGCACACACACACAGTGACATTTTAGACCTTCTTCAGAATACTGTATATACTATGGGCATCATGGTGCTGATCCAGAATCCTTACATTATTATTTATTACTAGAGCTACAATAATAAAGCAATGAGGAGGGGGAAGTAATAAATATGAAATAATGTCATTATGATGATTCCATTTGTTTCACTATCCACTCTGTGCAGGGGCAAAGCTTATTACATTTTTAAACTGTAGAGATACAATCATTTTACTGCTGTAAAATCCAACTTTTGTCTTATTTAAAATATAAATCTAATATAATCTGCTTCTTAATGTATGTTCTTTAAAATACAGCGTGTGTTTTTTAATATATTATAATTATAATAATTATTATGTGGACATGCATATTAGATCGTTTTTAGTGAAATATAATCCCTCCAGAAAGGCAGGAAATGCCCAGAAACTTACTTTAAAACTAAATATGTTCCCTAAAACGGTGACAAAGCTACAGACCCATGACAGCCTTACACAGGTAGCCAGCAGCTATGACCAGCACTACTTGTGCAGTTAATAAAAGGACAGGTAATGTTTGTCACGCTGTCGCACGCTCGTTTGTTTCAGTTAGTCAGTTGCAACAAGACAGCTTACCAACGTGTACGTAATAAGCTAATACTCCTGTGTGCTACACACTACAGTGTACGCTGTACACCTACTTACTGGTTTTGTCGCATCAGTCTGTGTCTCTGAGTTAACTTGTGTTTCTCCTACAGCTCCGGACCGCAAAAAATGCGCGTGCTCTTTGTGAGCTCGTTCCCGGCTCGTAACCAGCGCGTTCTGCCGTCGAGGGCGATCGTTGGTTAAATGGGATCATGTGACTGATGCAAGCCAGATCCTTTTATTTAGCAAAACTATGATTAATAGTTAAATATTATTGTTGAGGGGCACAGAGAGGACTCCGCACGCACACACACATAAAAAAAATAAATAAATAAATAAAAAAAATTTAAAAGTTGCCTCAACAAAAGGGCACTTTGGGCACTCATCAGGAAAGGGGCGGGTGCTCAAGCCCCTCTAGCCCCCCCCTCTGCACGTCCCTGTTAGGGAGTGCTGGGAGCGGCACAGCCTGTTGCCAAGGGTAGGCACCACAACACCACAACACGTAAAACACCATAACTGCCGTTATTTTCCCTTAGAAAATCTGTGTTAAATCAGTAAAAAATAGTAAAAAAAAAAATCAACACTACAAGAATTTGAATGAGTGATCAGCCGATATCACCAGTTACCACAATGGCACAAAAGCATTTTAAACAAACAAAAAAACCCAAACAAAAACAAATAAACAAACAAAATAAACACAACAAAAGAGCATCCGTTTAAGGAGCTTCATTTGTGCTTCATCCGATTTTTCTGTGTTTGCCTGATCCCCTTATCAGCTTAGACTAAGTGTAAAAACATGTAAAATACAATCAGACGCCCAGAACTGATGACTGTCCTTACAGACAGTTTGAACAGTTTGGACATTAGTACACCGAGGTGAGGAAATCACCGAAACCCCTGAGTGTCTGTTCACATTTGGAGTATTTTAACTGTGCACCCAGCTGAAGGTAACACTTTAGCTTATTATAAGCTGCAGTTTTAACAGTGTAATTAAGCAGCAGTCCTGTCTTTGATACAAAAGGGCACTCATCTGTGTACATTTGGAGTTTGGGTGGGGGAAAATATTATCCATATTTGGAAAGGTTCTGGTCAGCAGGTTTATTGTATGTCTTGTCTTTTGTGTCTTAAGAGACCTCTTGGTTGGACGACTTGTAGACTTTCTAATGGTTAACCAATGGATTTGCTCACCTGTGTTTGTGCCTGACATGTGCGCCCTGTGAGGTTTAATTCTAGGTTCTAGGTTTAAACTTTTAGGTGTGCTCAGCTCAAAAGCCCAGTCATTATAATATCATACACGTCATGCCTTGTAAAACATCCTTCATAGTTAACGTAAAATTCTCAACAGAGTCCTCTTCTAGCTCATAAACTGTACGTGTGTAGTATTCCATAGCTAACTGTTCCAATATGCCTAAGAAAATACACAATATTTCATCTGATATTTCATAATGTCACAAATTACCAAAGGAGTGAGAAGTCAAAGGAGAGACATGACCAGCATCATCCCCTTCTTCTCACCTAAAGCCTCCTCTACTGTCTGGGCTTTAACAGATGAAAACATAAACCTGCTTATTTATTCTGGATATTGTCACAATTACTTATTTTCAGAAGATTAGAGCTTGATCACAAATTAGGCTACATTCTCGACAAATCGATCGATCAATCAATCAATGTATTTATAAGCACATTTAAAAAACAACACAAGTTGAACAAGTTTTGTTACTTTGTACAGCACGTACAAAGTAACAAAACAAAACAGAAAAACAAGCACCAAAAAAATAACAGAAATGTTACTTTTGTCCAGCAATATTATATCCACTTCAGAGGTTTCACTTGTGCTGGCTGTAGCTTCCACCCAGAGAAAGCTTAAGCCTCAACTCATAGCCTCTGTTGTTTATTTCAGCAGCTTCACTCATTACAATCACAAACCAACACAAGAGCTTGTTGCCATTTTTCAGCTGAAACTAAACTCATCTTTTACTCTCCCAGTTTCTCCTTATTTCTCTCCTAGTGATCTTTGTTTCTGTTACACCACAATTAAATCCATATTGCTTCTTTCAAACTAACACATCCCCCTTTATAGGAAGTAAGTAAATAGAATTTATTTATATAGCACTTTTCACAGATAAAAATCATAAGCACTTCACAATAAAAGCAGAAATATATATAAATAATAATATGAAACAATGAAAAAATAAATTAAAAGCTTGTTTGCATAGAAATGTCTTCAGCTGCTTTTTAAAAGACTCAGTGGAGTTTGTACAGGATAAAGAAAACAGAAGAGAATTACACAACCCTCGTGCCACTGCCTGAAAAGCCTAATCCCCACACGAACCCAGTACGTGGGACCAACAGTAACCTCTAACCTGAAAATCTGAGGTCTAAAGCATGAGATTTTAACAGGTCAGAGATATATTGGGGAGCTTCACTGTGTAGAGCACGGAAGTTTTTTTTGTGTTTGTTTTTTTAAATAAAACCTAAACTGGACTGGCAACCACTGAAGAGAAGCCTGGAGTATTAACTGGAGTAGTATGTGACGTCTTATTAGTGCCAGGTAAAGTCTTGCTACAGTATTCTGTACACTCTGAACGCGATCCAAAGCTGATAAGTTGAAGTAAGTAACCTATTCAATAAAACCTATTCATGAATGAAAGAAACCTACTGACATCTAGTAGTGAGATTTTACACATTCTAACTTGTACTTGTATTTTTACATTGTTGTTTTGTTTTGTTTTGTTTTACTTGTGGATTGTAGCTCTTTGTTAATGAGTGTACAGTTCAACAGTAACTCTCGTGGTGAGGAGAGTTTTTGAGGAGCCTTGTTCACTGAAGTTCACTGTATATAAAATTTTATCATGAAAAGAATAAATGAAAGATGAATTCAAGCAGTGACCCCAAGATATGAATCCTTCATTCGACTGGTCACATGTTCCTTAATTTCTATACAACAGGGCAGAGTTTTTATGTAACTAACTGAAAGACTTTAAATTGTTTAGCTTTTTGATTATCCATCCAAACTGCAACCAGGATCTGGTTTTACATTGTTTTGAGCACATGTATTTGCTTATGACTTCAAACTAAAAGCATGGGAATCAAGCTGCAGATTATTGTTTTCACATTCCTCTGTCATGGAGATTTAAGGTGGGGTATGTTTTCAAAGTCATTTTCCCAGGCCACTAGAGCATGCAACCTTGAGTGTTTCACATGTTGTTAAGGACATGAGTTGTTACCTTACTTGACAGATTTCAGTGTATGTTCTTGTTATTTTGATCATTTAATAAACAAAAGTAATATTACTCTTGAGTAGATTAAACACCTAAGAAAATGGTTAAAAACATTAGAAAAACCAAACCTGCAGAGAGGTTTTGTCATGCCTGCAGTTCATTTGTCATTACTCTGTAATCAGTGGTGATTCGAACATAATTCCATCAAGTATACCAATTTTTGTCACTGTTAAGTTACAGATGACTAACATACATTGGATGTGACACATGAAGAAGATGCACACAGAGAACATAACATGAAATGTTACAATAATTATGAAATAAACAATCTTTATGGAAAAACAAATGATTTAATGACTTTTTAACATATAGATGGTAATAAATTCTGGCCGTGTCACAGTGTTTGTGCAAAGTTTTGTTCAGGTCGACCTATTGGTTAGGGAGCAGGAAGGCTACATACAGGCATATATACATGCTATGATAAATATAGTAAGAACATTATCACTATCCTAGGGATTTATCCTTTAGTTGAAGGCAGAATTTTTATTATGGGAGGAAAACGCTGTATTTGTCTGAAAAGAACTACCAAACATAAGTTCAAGATTTAGCGAAGAAATCAAGCACACACAAAGAAAGAAAAGTTTGGTTTAGTCTTCTTAGAGACTCTTTTTTTCCTTTCTACTTTTATTTGGCCTGATCTTTAATAGTATTTCACTTTCCAGCTCTTCAGGTGATTGGTGGAAATGTGAAAGTGGTTCAAGGAGGTACTGCTATCCTGCCGTGCCATGTCACTGGTACCAATGATGACCTGACACAGATTACCTGGCAGAGGAGGACAAGAGAAAAACCTCACAATGACAATTTCCTAACTATCCTACCCAGAGAGGGAGTGCAGTTTGTCAATGGAGGTGATGATCGATTTAAATATATCGGGAATTTTAACAACAAAAATGGAACTCTCCAGTTATCCAATGTTGCCCTGAAGGATGAAGGCAGATACACGTGCATCTTCACCTTGTTTCCCAGTGGAAATCAGAAGACTGAGATACTTCTAATAGTGATTGGTATGTACAAAATATTCCCAAAATTCTGGGCGTTTGTATGTGAGGCAGAGACAGAGTTACTTTTACCATTCTTCTTGCATGTTGACCTACTTCTGTGCTGTACCTCTCCTAGTGCCTCCTTTCACAAACATCAAGGACAATCTTCCCACTTTGGGCACAGAAGAGGTTTTATTTGCTACCTGCACGGCTGCTGGATCGAAGCCTCCTGCAGAGGTGAGGTGGCTCACTGATGCTTTGGGAGAGAAAGTGAGGACGACAACAAACTCCACACAGTATGACAACGATACAACTACCACAGTCAGCTCTCTGTTTGGTGTTCCTACGAGTGAGATTAACGGTCACCAGGTCCAGTGTGTCATCAGCAGTGACGCCATGTCTAAAGAAGAAACCCTGCCCTTCAGCATACAGATCTACTGTGAGTATCAGCTGTTAATAGAGTTTATTATTTGTCTTTTGTGTCATTTTTAATAAAGATTTTTTTATTTGACCATAAAAATGTATATTAAAATGATATACAGATATAAACAGCCATAGATTGAACTGAAAAAAAGAAGTTGAACTGAATCAGGAAAAGCCCCGTAAGGCAGTATCAAATACTCTTTACCAGTCAATTTGTACTGTCTAGATATTTCAGCTGCCTCAAATGAGTTTTGTTCACATGAGCGCAGGTATCAACTTACCAATATTCATCATTTAATAATTTTTCAGTTGCATGTATATGTTCAGGTCAGAATTAACTTACAGCAGCTAAAGTCAGAAAATGGCTCAGCGATCCAGTTGTTTTAAAGCAGAGGTACCATTTATGATTTTGGGGGCACACCACTATCCTGTAAAGTAAAGCTGCTGACGATGTCTGTTTTTAGCCATGCCTATTTTGTTTGTTTCTGGTCTACTACTTCCAGCATGACAAAACACCATGTGACAAAGTCTGCCTCAAACTTGTTTGTGAAGCCTGACAATCAGTCCATTATTTTCACTGATCTCCACAGTCATAAGATACACATGAGGAATGAGGATGAAGCAAAACTAATAGAGGCTTGTTTTGAAACTGAACACAGGTTCCTCTGGTTTTGTCCGGTGTTATGTATCTGGTGGAAGTCCCTGAGAAGAACACAAAATTTAATATCCTCAAAACTTTCCATAAAAAAAAAAAAATTTAATATCCTTTTTTCAGACAAGGTGATTGTAAGTGAGCCCTTGGCAACCTTCAATGTGTAGCATAGGATCACTCCTTCAAACTAAATAAAAGAAACCAGAATTTATGGTTTTGTGTTACATGATAGGATTCCGGCAAATGTGAAATATTACTTTGACACCATTAGTATTTCCTCATTTCAGAATTAACACTGTTCTCTTTCTGTTTATGCAGTCCCTCCCACAGAAGTGAACATTAGAGCAATTTCTGAGAACTCATTTGAGTGTGTGACAGAAGCCAACCCAAGCGCAAACTTTACCTGGAGCAGGTAAAGTAGTTTGAATAATGATTTAAGCTGAAACTTTAATTTGCTTCTCTTTGTTTGTCTTGTGCAACCTGTTTTTAAAAAGCCCTGAGGAACAAAAAGATGTATTGTATTTAGTGATATACAGTATAACACATAATAAAGTTGTTGGGAGTGAATTTTGGAAAATTAAAGAAGGCAACATTTAAACTTTAGCTGATGGGTGTTTCCTGAACATGCACGCTTTAGGAACAGACTGTGGTTAAACTGTAGGTTCTGAAAAAAATAAAATAATTTAAGGTAAATATATACATCTACAAGTAGAGAAGTTTGGGGTATTATTGTTTTTAGATGTTTTACTAAGTTTTTGAGGTTTTGTTCTTTTTGTCTTCCAGATATTCCTCCTTAGCTGTAGTTAAAAATACATTAACATGGAAAGTTATGCTATGACGAGGCATCTGCCATGTGTTTGTCCTTCCACAATTCACAACAGTCTCTACTCCTAGAATATTGCTCATATTTTAGTGAAATATTCACAAAATTATCACATAATGGGTCTTCACTCAAACTGGGGTCAAGGTCATAACTCTCATTTTATGGGCACTTTTCTATGTTCACAAGAATTACTCATCAAATTTTAGTGAAATTAGATAAATGTGACCTGGATATGACAGTTTGGGAGTTTTCTTGACTTGAGTGGATGTGAATTCTCATTGGTGTGTGCAATACAGCCAACCAGTGTCAATTTAACTTATAACTTTGTGAACATATCACGGCACTGGCTCCATCTGTCTGAAAGCCCCCACCATCATTCCCATCCCCCAAAGGACTGGAATAGACAGCCTCAGTGACTGCAGAATCATACTCCTCATGTCTTGTGGTCATGAAGTGTTTCTTGTGGATAGTGTCTCAGCACATCACAAACATCACAAACCTCCTTCCTCCCTGTCTCCACCACCAAATTACAGTTTACAGCACAAATTTACCATCACCCTTCACAGAACGCGAAGCCATCTAGAGAACAGGAAGAGCTATGTGAGTATGCTCTAGCGTTCAACACCATAATCTCATCATCACCTTCAGATGCCCCTCCCAACTGGTCCTGGATCATAGGTTCCATCACCACCTGGCCCCAATCAGTCAGACAGCCCCCATCCAAGTTTGTCTCCAACTTCAGGTTTCTGGGCACCCACATCTCTGCCAACCTGGACCCACAACAGCATTGCCCTGGTAAAGAAGGTCAAGCAGTAGCTGCACTTGTTCCATATCCTGAGGAAGAATAACTTTCAACCAGTAGCTAAAGCTGGTCTTCTATTTCTCCTCAGTGGAGAGCGTGCTCTCCTAGTGGCTGGGTGGTAGGCTGCACAAGGGGGAATTAACACTACCTGAAAAATCATTGGCTGCCCTCTGCCACCCATGGAGGCCTTTGCCAGATCCTCCTGTCTCAGGAGAACAAAGTCCATCACAGGCGCTCTGGACGGCGCCTCAGGTTAATCAGGTTCCAAACATCCAGACTCACAAACAGCTTCTTCCCCAGGGCTATTTAGACTGTAAACAAACACTATCCCCCACATAGTATGTGCCTTTGTATTGTATACCTCTTTTTTGTATATATTCTCTCTTATCTGTTGATTATTCCTGCTGAATTACTATTTATATTTGGCCTGGTGCAACCACAATTTATATACATATGTACACTGACAATAAACAGCTTTTCTATTCTATTGAGGGATTATGGATGGACGTTCAGCTCAAGTAGATGCTATAATAAGTCATGGTTGGTTCTTCAGATAACAATCAACAAAACAAACATTTAAGGTATTTATTTAAGCTGTTTAGTTTTTAGCAGTTACTGTGAGCAGTTTCACATTTTACTGTATTCCCTATGGCAAAAACTGTCATTACTGCAGGCTGTCAGAGTCATTACTGGCTCTGACAGTAATGCTTGCTGTAATGTTTTTTAGCTTCACTGAACAGATTTAGTCAAGCTTGAAACACCCCTGAGGTTTTACTCTAGTTGTTTTTGCCTTTTTACTTCAAGTGCATTTTGTTCAGGAGTTTCCCTATCGTGATTTTAAGACCAAAATTCATGATTCATTTCTCATTTGTAAATGGCCTGTATTTGTATAGCACTTTACTTAGTCCCTAAGGACCACAAAGCGTTTTACACTACATTCAGTCATCCACCCATTCACACACACATTCACACACTGGTGATGGCAAGCTACATTGTAGCCACAGCCACCCTGGGGCGCACTGACAGAGGCGAGGCTGCCGGACACTGGCGCCACCGGGCCCTCTGACCACCACCAGTAGGCAACGGGTGAAGTGTCTTGCCCAAGGACACAACGACCGAGACTGTCCAAGACGGGGCTCGAACTGGCAACCTTCTGATTACAAGATGAACTGACAACTCTTGAGCCACGACCACCCCATTGGCCCTATTTGTGTGTGTGTATATATAGATATATATGTAGATTTCCTGTACACAATTAGGTACAAACGGGCCACAAGTGAAGGTTAATTGTGTGTAAAATGTAAACTACTTCATGAAACTGTATTTCTTTTTGGGTAAATCACTGTGGCGACTTATGTCAAACTCATAACATTGTCTTACTTTTAGTGTTGTATTTTATGTTCTTTTGAGATTTTTCATTATTAACTGATAACAGCTGATTGGAGTAGGTGGCGTAGGGAATCATTTCCTGTTGAAAAAGAGTCACATGACCAAATTTATGTGAGGACACATGAAGTCTGAAGCATAAAGCCCAGCAGACAGAGAAAGTAGATGAACACTATTATGGTAACCTTCATCTCTAACATGGGTTTTAGGTTTTGTTAAACCAGCTAATAAACAGAAAGCCTGACTGCATTGAACTTGGTTTGTGGATTACCCCTTTGGGCAGTACTTCGTACCTGTGCTGTCCTGGTGCTCCAGGAACCCTGGAGGGTTGTGTAAGCTGGTTTAGCTCAGCAGACAAAAGCTAAAAAGAGTTTTGAAAGATGGTTTCATTTAATTACTCTCAAATCAAAACCAATCGGTCATGTCTCGTTCAACTATGAGGGTAACACGTTCACTCAGACATGATCAAATTGGACTTATTTATGGGTATAAAACAGTGGGCACTAAATATATAACTATTTGGTCAGGTGTGATACAGACTTGCCTGTTTTTCAGGGTAGGTTATTTCCATGATGTGTGCACAGTTCATATTGAACATAAGGACATAGTTAAATGAAATGCTGATTCATGAAAAAGAAACATACATCCATCCATTTTCTTCCACCTATCTGGGGCTGTGTTGCTGGGGCATCCGCCTAAACAGAGAAGCTGAGCCTGCCTTACCACAGCAACCTCCCTCTAGCTTGTCAAGGAGAATGCCAAGGCGTTCCCGACCAGCTGAGAGATATTATCGCCCCAGCGTGTTCCACATTTTGCCTCCTTCCAGTGGGACATAGCCGGAACACTTTGCCCTGGAGGCATCCTTGTCAGATGCCTGAATCACCTCAACTGGCACCTTTTGATGTGTAGCAGAGTAGCAGCACTACTCTGAACCTCTACCAAATAGCTGATGTCCTTACCGTATCTAAGGGAGAGGCCAGCCACCCTTAATTCCCTCCACTTGTATCTGCAATCTGTTCTTTCAAAACAACAACGCTAAAGTCCAGACATTACAAATGACATAAACATTTTTTTTCACATTGCAAAACAGTCTTTTTACACTAAATATTTCATTATGCATATTCACCAGTGTGACTCAGCAGTGCTTGGCTTCTCTCTCTCCAGTTCACTACTTATACATTACATGTGAGGAATTCCTGGTAAATGCATTCATGTTTTTCCAGATCTGCCCAGTCTTTCCTGCAGTCTGCTGTCAAAGTAGATGGTGCAAAGCTACAACTGCTGAGTCTGACCTCTGATCTAAATGGCCTCTATCAGTGTGAAGCATCTAATGCATATGGAACTAAACATGGTCAGCTCTATGTGCATGTGGCATCAGGTGAGGTCAGCTTGGATTTAGCTGTGCAGTTTGTCCAAATCTGAATTTTTTTTGTGTGATTTCTGAGCTTTTGTGTGTTGTTATTCTGTTTTCTTTTTTGTCCATTCCTGTCAAAGGAAACTTGAACATCTAGACAGATTTCTTTGGTAAGCAGCTAGTTTAGAGAAGTGGTTGCCTTACCCTAAAGTCAGCACAAAACAGACAAGTTATTGAATAATGGATGCCTTACCCAGTGCAGTATAGGATCATATTCAATTCAGTTCCACCAATGGAAGCTCAGACCATGTCCTATCTTGTGATTCTTTTCATGATCATATCAAGTTTGTTTCATTTACTTTTGTGCATCAGAACTTGTCAGTACAGGGACATTTTTGAATGTTTTTGGTACAGATGTTGCATGGTGTTTGAATACCGTCAGATTCATCTTAATGTGAAATATAAAACTAAATGCCAGGTAAGTGAGAGAGAACAATAGATCATTTCATATTCTCACTCCCTGTGTCTTTGCAGGAACATGCTCGGCTGCTTGGGCCTCATTTGCTATTTTTCTTCTCCTGAATGTCATTGGGGCTGCAGCCTGGTGGTTTTTCAAATCTGGATATTTTCAAAGGTGCGTAGAACAATAATCATACAAGCATACAGGATGTAGCATGATAAGTAGCTATTATAGTATTTCAATATTTCATATTGTTGAAACTCCTGAATAAAATCTAAAAGTCTCCACTTGAATTTAAAATTGATTGATTTTATTTCAAAATTGACCCCAAAATTTTCCAACTCTATACGACAAACGATGTCATTTTTTCCTGTGGTATTAGGTTTTTCCCCGTGCATGGCGATGAACACAGTGACCCACGATCTCCCAGTAGTCCAGGTGATGATCATGGACAAGATCACCAAAAACTGCAGAGAGAGGTTAGTCCAGTTAATTTGTTGAAATGTGAGTTTTTCCCTCACTGTTAATATGTGTCTTGAAATATGTTGGCACTAGTGTAAAACTCTCTGATATGCAGTTACTGGGGGTGTATTTATAGTTTAGTTATGAAGAAATTATTTTATTTAATCTCTAGTAAAAGACCCAAATAGTAACAGCAGTAACATTAGTAGCTTATTATGATTGTGTTTAATATTATAGAAGTTTAAATGTTTTTTTCTAAAATCTCCAGTTGAAAATTAACAAATATTCTGAATTATCCACCTTAGGACTCTGTCTGACAGCAAAAGAAGAAAAACATCTGGACTGAGGGCTCCACTAATCTTTCAGCTGATAGTGGAGCCCTCAGTCTTTCAGCTGAGGGCTCCACTAGTCTTTCCACTTCCACACAGGTGGAAGTGGAAACACTTCCACCTGTGTTTCACTTAGATGAAACACAGGTGGAAGTTCCTGGTATCCATTCACATGCCTGCCTCTATTTTATTTACCTTTCTTTCTACCTTTTCTTTTTTCCCCTTCTTTTGTTTTTACTGTTGCCACACATTAAATTTAGAGTAATCCCCACTGATGCCTGCTTGTTGATGGAAATATAATAAAGTATTTTACAAATATATATCGGCTGAAAATATAATTTGGACATTAATTAGGCCTACAAATCAATATTTTCAGATACTATTTGCTGACCTGGGGGATTTGTATGAACAGCATTAAAATTCACTCAGACTATAAGATTTTGTTTTTCATAGGCAGTCTAAAAGTTGAAAATTTGATTTACCTTTGACCTTTTTTGTTTTGTGTTTTTTTTCTGGTTCTAGTGTCCTGTTTAAGACATTTGAAGTAAACTTAAATGCTTTTGAATGTAATTTTTCAATTTAAGACCAAAAAAAACCCCAGTTGACTGAAAGATGCTGTCTACCACTGCTGTTTTTTTGTCTGTTTGTTGTATTATTATTATTTATTTAGCTATTGGTTGCATAGTTAGTTAGTTGTGTAAGTGTTATTTGGGTTTGGTTGTGACAAATCATCTACAAATTGGAAGGTTGGAGGTTCGAACCCTGGTTGCTCTAGTCTGTCTGCCAAATCATTCTTAGGCAATAATAATAATGGATTGGATTTATATAGTGCTTTTCAAGGCACCCAAAGCGCTTTACAATGCCACTATTCATTCACTCTCGCATTCATACACTGGTGGAGGCAAGCTACGGTTGTAGCCACAGCTGCCCTGGGGCAGACTGACAGAAGCGAGGCAAAGTGTCTTGCCCAAGGACACAACGACCAGGACAGAGAGCCCAGGGATCGAACCAGCGACCTTCCGGTTACAGATACGCTTCCCAACCCCCTGAGCCACGGTCGCCCCACTAGATACTGACGTGTTCATCAAAGTGTGATTATTAGATAGAAAGCACTTAGATGTTGGTTTGTTTCACAGAACACACACACACACACACACACACACACACACAGATAGATAGATAGATATGTCCCTCGTCCTATGGCGAGTACCTGGATACAGACGGACAAAATGGTGGTGGCTGACCAATCGGACATAGTGGTGGTAGACAAATAGAAGAAGACGGCCGTAGTGACATCTGTAGCGGTTTGAAATGACAGCAACATCAGGAAGAAGGAACACGAGAAGCTCGAAAAATACCAAGGGCTCAGAGAAGAGCTCGAGAAGATGTGGAGGATGAAGGCAACGGTGGTCCCAGTGGTAATCGGAGCACTAGGTGCAGTGACTCCCAAGCTAGGCGAGTGGCTCCAGCGGATCCCGGGATCAACATTTGAGCTCTCTGTCCGGAAGAGTGCAGTCCTAGGAACAGCTAAGATAGTGTGCAGGACCCTCAAGCTCCCAGGCTCCGAGAGAGAAAGAAAAAAAGAGACAGACTAGTTTCAATACAACTTGACGTCATCCTGGCTGTTTCTCCTGGAAAAAAGCAATGACTGTTTTCATGGGCTGTGATTGCAATAAATTAATGCGAAGCAAATTTTACGTAATACTCTGTAGTTTGGTGCCGATATCTGCGCTTCTGCTGACCAGCGACGCTGACGGTAAGTAGAAAATGCTGCCTGTCCTTGCTTTTTGTGATGATGTAACTGCAGATCAAGGTGTTTACGCAGTGGCGAAAAAAGCTATATTCTAGTAAATTAAGTTCAACGAGACTATGGTCATTTTAGAAATCCAAAACGCTGCATCCTG